GCTGCCACCTCTGCCCCTGCCACCACTGCCCCAGCCACCCCACCACCACTGCCCATGCCACCCTCTGCCCCTGCCACCACTGCCCCAGCCACCCTGCCACCCTCTGCCCTCTGCCACCACTGTCTCCAGCCACCTCTGCCCCTCTTGCCACCACTGCCCCAGCCACTCCCACCACCACTGCCCATGCCATACCCCTCCTGCCCCTGCCACCACTGCCCCAGCCACCCTACTCACCTCACTGCTCCCAGCCACTCCCACTCACCCTCCCCACTGCCCCCAGCCACCCCTCTGCCCCCTTGCCACCACTGTCCCAGCTACCCACCACCTTCTTGGGCCCCAGCTACCTCTGCCCCAGCCGCTTCTACTATCATTTCTGGCTCCCAGTGCCGCTTCTACCACCTCTGCCCTGTGCCGCTTCTCTGCTCCCTACTACCTCTCTGCCCCTACTCTCACCTCTGCCCCAGCTTTCACCATCTGCCCCAGCCACCCCACCTCACCACTCTCCCAGCCACCTTGCCTACCACTGTCCCTGCCACCACTGCTCCCAGCAATTCTCTTTCCTGTAGCCACCTCACTCACCTCTGCCCCAGCCACCTCTGCTCCTCCTACTACCCCTGGGCTCCAGCTACCTCTGCCCTTCTTACTTCCACCCCTCGCCTCCCAGCCACCCTATCATCACTACCCTCTGCTCCCAGCTTTCACCTCCTGCCCTCCTACCATCCTATACCCCCTACCATCCCCTGCCCTGTCACAGCCACCCTACCACCCTCTGCTCCCTACTACCCGTACCCTGTCACTGCCCTCCTACCACCCCTTGCCCAAGCCACCCTTCTACCCTCTGCCCCAGCCACACTCTCCCCTCCTACCACCCCACTACCCTGTCACTGTCCTCCTACCACCCTCTGCCCCAGCCACCCTCTGCCCTCCTACCACCCCACTACCCTGCCACCCTCTGCCCCCTACCATCCCCTGCCCTGTCACAGCCACCCTACCACCTTCTGCTCCCTACTACCCGTACCCTGTCACTGCCCTCTTGCCACCCCGTGCCCTGTCACAGCCCCCCTACCCCCCCCTGCCCCAGGGGAACCCTACCACCCTCTGTCCTCCTACTGTCCTCCTACCACCCCACTACACCGTCACAGCCCCCCTACCACCTCCAGCCCCACCACTACCCCTTGTCCTGTCACAGTCCCCCACCACCTCCTACCCTGTCAAAGCCCCCTACCGCCCCCACCCTCTCACAGCTCCCCTACCCTGTCACCCCACACCCATCCAATCACAGCCTTCCCACACACACACGCTGTCACAGCCTTCCACTGCACAACTTGTCATTCCCCACCCTATCATTACCACACACACTGACACCTCCTTCACATACACTATCACCATTCCCAAACACTTTCAGACCCCACACACAGTCGCCCCCTAAACCCGGCCAAACTTACATAACCCCTCCTAATCCTGTCACTCTCACCCACTGCAACCATACCAAACTCCTTGCTTTGCCACACCTACCCTATTGCATTAACCCTGTCAGACTCACCTTCTCTTGCACTGTCACACTCACCCCCCAACCCTGTCACTCATCCTCTATCAGTCTGTCCCACTCACCCCCTTCACCCTGCCACACTCACCCTATTACATAAACCCTTACAATCCTGTACTCCAACTGTGCAACACTCACCCCAAACCCTGTCACACATAGGTAGACAATGTCAGATACTGTCATATATACATACACCGCCACTTGTGTATATACGACTGCAAGGCTATGTAACCATACCCCTCAGTTATGTATAAATGATTGGCATAATTGCTAATTAAATTTGTTTATTGCAAATTAAGTTAGTTTGCAAATTATGCCATAACTAGAGTCGGAGAGATCACAATACAGCGGCACAGGGAGCCGCGACCCTGCAAGCCTCTGAATGATGAATACAGAGACTAGCTCTCTGTATCCAGCACTGCCAGCTTGTCCTTCAATACAACTACAGCACCTTATACACACAATGCAACCCCTATTTTTAACTTTAGCTGTTAGTGGGGGCCTCATGTTTGAGTTTCGCCTAAGGCCTCACAAAGTCTAGAGCCGCCACTGTTTCTCTCTCACACCAGACGGGGTTACCTTTACCATGTCGAGACGAACTAAGTCTGATTCGTCTTCAGTGTCATACCCATGCTTTGTGTCAGACGCCACACTATGCGTAGTCAGAACGCTAATGGGGTACACCAATATCTCTACCCCCTTCGAACTCATTCGACGGATCACCTTCTGACTTCTTACGTAAATCCTCAGGGACCGGTGTCTACCGCAACACTGGCCAGATGGGTCCGCTGGTTTTTTGTCTTTAGCGTCGAACTTTGTTTCGGAGCCCACTCGGTCAGGGGAGCAGCGACCTCACAAACCTTTTCGGCCGACGCTTCCCTAGCCGACATTATACGCTGCGCGGACTGAGCGCGAGAGAGTACGTTTAGAACGTTCTTTTTTTCGGCAAACATCTCATGCTTCCTTCACATTGGTCAATTCAAAGCTTTAAAAATGCAAATATGAAGCCTCCTGTCATGTGGTAAAATTGAAGATTATATTAGCTTTAGTGTACTAATAATCTTAATTTTAGTAATGACAGGAGGCGAATATTTCCCACCCTATAGGATCCCTCCCATGTTTCTCGTGTTGAACAGAATATGTCCTTTATGTTCAGGAAGGTAAGTACATATGGTTTGTATGTTTGCTACTTAGACCTGTATCTTGTGGGTCTTGTATTGGCTGAATATTAGACATGAACCTTGTATTATGTTGTGTTTATAGATTCTTAAATATCATTGCGTTAGAATAAATATATATTGATATGTTTCACATTCTAATGTTTGTTGGTATATCAGATGCTTAATGCTTATTGTATGCGGACAAGTTATCACGCCAGATACCTTTCACCTTTTTCTTTTTCTTGCAGCGTGAACGTCTTCTCATCGAGACAAAGATTCACCTTCCATAACTCTGCATCGCGGAACTAATGGAGTTGGATATTCTAATATGTTGTTGAACTGTTGACGTAATATGATTAGGTCTCTTGTTGTTATTTATTGTTTCACTTCAAAGAAAGAGGAAGTGATGTCATAGACAGGGCCTTTTATGGGCATCATAACTTTTTTCTGATTGGTTGTTATGTTTCTATGCTGCTGGAGTTTTCAGTAAAGAAAGATATGCAAATGAAAGTATATATGTAGCAGGTATTCCACTCACAAGCCTAGAGTCATAGTTTCATATGACTCAGATGATATGTGCCTTTGGACCAATTTAGGATGTCCAGATCCTTCTTTCTTGCAGGATTCCGTCTGTGACCACCTTTAACCAATTTCCAGACCAAAAGATGTCAGGTCAACAGTAGGTTTCTAAAAGGTTGGTACTTTATTTAAAATAAAAATCTTTTAAAAGAAATAAACATTTAAAATCAAAATAAAATGAAACAACTTTAAATGGGGCTATATAGTCCTTGGTAATCGCCAAAACGCGTTTCGCCTGGTACAACAGGCTTCCTCAGTTGGCTAAAATGTCCACTGCTTAGTCTCTTTGGTTATTTAAACAGTCCGCTCAATTTTACTTCCGGGTTCCGGTTTTCGCTTCCGTGGAACGCAGTCTTGCGTTCCACTGATGTCACTTCCTGTTCCGTCACTTCCGGGTTAGTGTCTTATTCGGTTGGAACGCAACATGCGTTCCAATCGTACCATTTCCTGTTTCGTCACTTCCGGGTACTACTCTCGGTTAATTGGAACGCACAATGCGTTCCACCAGCAACATCCTCCATTCTTTTCGTTCGATCCACTCTGGCAACTTATTTTTCACATATTTCTATGTATATATTGATGTACTATATTAGTATATCATTATTGTGGAGGTCTGTTCTATATACTATTTTACATATCTTGGTAAACTCTATATACATATTGAAAGATCCCAATCTACATTATACAAGACATTTTTCTTAAGATGTTTTTATAGGGAGAGAGTGATTTCCATATTTTAAAGTGCTCTTATATTAAAAGTGATACAAACATATCCCCTTAAAGTGCTTTTATATATTGAAGTGCTTTTCAGTGCTTTTATGGTGTTATAAAGATTTCCACAATAGTGTTCAAAAGTATGCCATTTCGAAAACTAAAAAAAGAGGGAAAATTTCAAAAGTAGTATTCTTAGATTGGGATCTTTCAATATGTATATAGAGTTTACCAAGATATGTAAAATAGTATATAGAACAGACCTCCACAATAATGATATACTAATATAGTACATCAATATATACATAGAAATATGTGAAAAATAAGTTGCCAGAGTGGATCGAACGAAAAGAATGGAGGATGTTGCTGGTGGAACGCATTGTGCGTTCCAATTAACCGAGAGTAGTACCCGGAAGTGACGAAACAGGAAATGGTACGATTGGAACGCATGTTGCGTTCCAACCGAATAAGACACTAACCCGGAAGTGACGGAACAGGAAGTGACATCAGTGGAACGCAAGACTGCGTTCCACGGAAGCGAAAACCGGAACCCGGAAGTAAAATTGAGCGGACTGTTTAAATAACCAAAGAGACTAAGCAGTGGACATTTTAGCCAACTGAGGAAGCCTGTTGTACCAGGCGAAACGCGTTTTGGCGATTACCAAGGACTATATAGCCCCATTTAAAGTTGTTTCATTTTATTTTGATTTTAAATGTTTATTTCTTTTAAAAGATTTTTATTTTAAATAAAGTACCAACCTTTTAGAAACCTACTGTTGACCTGACATCTTTTGGTCTGGAAATTGGTTAAAGGTGGTCACAGACGGAATCCTGCAAGAAAGAAGGATCTGGACATCCTAAATTGGTCCAAAGGCACATATCATCTGAGTCATATGAAACTATGACTCTAGGCTTGTGAGTGGAATACCTGCTACATATATACTTTCATTTTATTTATATTACTGTATTGCACTATGGTTTATATTCTATTTTACAGAATATCTGTTATATTGTTATTTTGAGAAGCTCCACCCATTTTATGTATGTATACTGTTGATTTTAAAGTGGTAAAGGGGATTCCACTTTGAGGTGTATAGAGCTTCGTATTGCACATCTTCCACATTGTGCACACACTTGTTATAAAGATATGCAAATATTCGCCTCCTGTCATTACTAAAATTAAGATTATTAGTACACTAAAGCTAATATAATCTTCAATTTTCTGATATGAGATTTCTTAAAATATATAACTGGAATGCTGATTTAATACAAGACCAGTGAAGCCTCTACATTTTGTACAATATTGTTTGACTGTCTGCAGAAGCATTGGGACAATTAATTGTAAGTTGTCATTGATTATTTTCTACCCAAACATTAAAGGCAACATTTCAATTTGTTGTAAAATTTCCCTACTTTTGTACTTCTAGCTTCAGCAACATTCAGGCAAATGTCAGGTATTACTCATTTTACCCCTTCACTTTAAAATTAAACAAGAAGTGGTTTTCATTTTACAAAAAAAAAATAATCTTGACATGGAGTGTGGCATGCTGTGAAGTTGAACAAAATAACATTTAACTTATTCGTTAGTTGTAATTTACCTAATTTTTTTATTCAGAGCTAGCAATGTGACGAAAAAGATTGGAAAGTGAATATGTTTTTCTCCTAAACAAATCATCTGCATACAGTTCTGAAGCACAGGCATTGCTTCCGATAGGATATATTTATCACAGTTCGTGTTGTTCAGTATTTTGTAAAATCTTTGTTTGGAACACAACATTCATAACGCCAATTAAGTTAAAATAATTATAGACATGAGAAAAAAACTCTGCGACCATTTCTACAATATATTTTACTTTGCTCTGCTTTAGATCCATCATTAAATAAATACAATTCTGTTTTATTGTTAGAGTGAACACAAGGCATAATGTAAGACTAGAAAAGAAATGTCAGGAAACAGAATATTCAAATGTTTCAGCTAGAATTACTTTTCATTGGACTGTCCATCAAAATCTTGTTTGAACATGGTTATAATTGGTCAAAGCACTGATTATTCCTGGCCTATTCCTTATAGAACTGTTAATTGCAAATCATTATAACTTCACTAAAATAATCATATACACGTTTCCATGGTAGGCACAGCTTATTATAGGACTCTTCATCAAAGGTCTCCTAATCACAAGCCTCTTGATCACACATTTGTTCTTCATAGTCTGGTCATCAGTAGATGTATTGACTGACTGAAGCAATGCAGTAGTGCAGTGTTATACAATATTATGAAATTATTAGGACTGATCATAGAATATTTCATGAGGGGACTGTTCATTTTAGTTATTTAACAGATGATGGATGACCATATCTTTACTTATTCACCCTCAAAACCGTGTGTACAAATTTTACTTTTGTTTTGCATTAGAAAGTAAAGCTAAGGATATTCAGACCATAAAGTTCCACTTGCCTAACTCTTTGGTCAAGAATTGTATTTCAGACACTAGGACATCATTATGTTCTTACTATTCTGCAAGGGGTCTTACATTGGCGGACCCTCTTACAACCTCCTACAAATAATAATAATAACAAAGTATTTAACCAGGAAAGGTACATTCAAGGGTTACCTTAACCCAACATCCAGGGGTTATTACCATTACCCAATTTAATGGTACTCATTTTATCTACCTCGGAAGGATGAAGGGCTGATGAAGCAAGTTGGTAAGTTACATTTTGTTAATGCTGAGGTGTGAAAAATAAAAGTAAAACTAAAAATCCACACATCTCTATGCTGCAAAAGGGTGCCTCCATTTTAGCTGCATATCAGTCATTGCTATAAACCATGGGTAGACAACACTCAGCACTCCAGAAGTTGTGGGCTACATCTCTCATAATGCTTTTACAGCCATAATGCTGGCAAAGCATCAAGGGATCTGTAATCCATAACACCTGGAGTGCAGAAGGTTGCCTTCCTTTGTTAGAAGCTTTGTACTTTGCACGTAGCAGTCACCATATGGAGAATAGGAGAAGTTAAACAGTTACTGTTTCTCCTGTTCATTTGTAATGTTTGGCCTTACTTTGCCTTGTCTAAACCGGTTTATGAAGTAATTTGCTAAAACTTTTATTAGAACTTTAAGAGAAAAGAGAGCACATCGTAAAAAAAAAAAATTACAGGAGTTGTAGGAGACATATTAGAATTTACTTAATGGTGTAAATTCTAGAGAAGTGTCAGCTCCCCTTTAATGAGACATGGTTTTCTGCAAATAGCAGCAGACACATCACTCCTTCGCAAAAGTATGGGTTGAGGGCAAAAACTACCCTGATTATATTCTCTAACTAAGTGATTTGCTGAAACATAGATATGTGAAAACATTTGTATACATTTTTTTTTTTTTACAAAATGTTTCCAGTTTCGTGAAAATATTACTCTCTAAATTAGCCACATTTACAATAATATTGTTTTAATATATAAATCACCAGTCAACCTTTAAATGATAACTATTTTACTAACCTGCCAACTCACATTTTATTATTTTCTAGTGCATTTTATTGGTTTACATACAAAGTATGAATTATATTTATATGCTGAAAGCAATCAACTTTATACACACTCTCAAATTGTTTTATGAACTAATAATTATTTACTTACATTCTCTCTGTTTGAAATAATGCTATTTTAGCCAGGCCTGTGTTATCCTATAAAATTAGTTTCTGACTCTGTGCAATGAAGATTCACAAGTCTATAACTCCACCTCAATTGTTTTTGTGTACATTTCCAGCAATATAAAATCAACTCTGTAATCGTGTGTCCTTCACATATAATTTGATTGTTTTTGTGTGCCAGTGGTACAGGCAATATCACTTGCCATATTATAGTCGTCTACTTCCTTTATAATTGCATTCTCATGCTCAGTGAAACTGATGAGGACATTATGTCACAGAAATTACAAGGCGAGTGTCAGCTGAGAAAAGAGATAGGCGACTGCATGAGTCATGCTCAGTATTCATCAGCATGAATTCCTGTCTTGAAACAGCACACACGTGAATAAAAATAAGGTAATTACTGTCTGCAATATATATGCACATTTAACATTTCACATGCCAAAGAGGTATGCAATATATGGTGAAAACTGATGTCTCCTATCCATCTGTTCCTTCAAATATCCTTCAGCAGTGATACAGAAGGCTTTTAAGAACCCATCTGAATTATCTGTGGTCCTCCATTAAACTTTACACTAATGGCATCTTATATATTCGAATCATTTATAAAGACAATCTGTCAAAAGAGCTTTTGTTTTGTTTAAGGCTTTAAAAAAATAAATAAAAGAGAAATTAGGACATACACAAAATGTGATGCATGTCTCAGTTATCAAGGATTTTAAAGAAGAACAAATGAAGAATAAGATGGGGAGGGTGGGGGGAGGTCCATAGAAGCCAAAAAAAGTAAAAGTAGTTTTTAAGAGCTGGTTTCATCATGATCAGTGAGACTAAGCTATATTTGGGTGCCTGTAACGAGGAACCTCAAAAATAGAAGACTGGAAGCTCTCAAAGGTTAGGCTTACTAAGGATCATAATTAGGTGTGAGTAGATAGTATTAGGGTTAGCTAGGGTTAGGGCTATGACTAGCTTCCATAGCGAGAGTGGTGCCATGGGTTGCATTGCATGCCGCTCAGAGAGTTGCCATGGCCACCCGTGGCAACACTCTTGTGGCTCGCAACAGGAAAATAACTAATGCTGGAGGACATGGAGAATTAGATCTCTGGGCCCCCTCTTCACAATACACCTTGTTGTGCCACTGGACCACATCTTGTGTCCCCCCTTCCTGCCCCCAGGTAAGAGGCAGGGAGGGGGTATACATTTTACTATTAATTAATACATTATATTCAATTCATACATGTAAAAAAACTGCTTTCCTCCTCACAGCTCACAAACACACATAAACTGCACCCAGTACACACCTCTACACAACCATACACTGCATCCACTATACAGTAAGGGAAAAAAAAAAAAATTTCATCCCCTGCTGATCTTGAATGTTTGTCCACTGACAAAGAAATGTTCAGTCTATCATTTTAATGGTAAGTTTATTTTAACAGTGAGAGACAGAATAACAAAAAAAAAAATCCAGAAAAATGCATGTCAAAAAAGTTATAAATTGATTTCCCTGAAAAGGCACTGTTTATGGTGCCCAGCCTGCAGGGACATGTTTTACATTAAATTAAGATGTAATGGTTCTGGTGACTATAGTGTCATTTTAATTACACTGATAAGTCACAACATTAAAACCACCTGCCTAATATTGTGTAGGTCCCCTGCGTGCTGCCAAAACAGCTCTGCTGCGTTGAGGCAAGGACTTGAACAAGACATCTGGAGGTGTCTTGTTGTATCAGGTACCAAGACATTAGCAGCAGATCCTTTCAGTATTGAAAATTGTGAGGTGGGGCCTCCAATATACATATATCTTTTTCCAGCACATCCCACAGATGGTCACTTGGATTGAGATCAGGGGAATTTAGAGGCCAATGCAACAACTTGAACTCTTTGTCATATTCCTTAAATCATTCCTGAACACTTATTGCAGTGTGGCAATAAGATAATTATCTTGCTAAAAGAGGCCACTGCCATTAGTAAACACCTTTGCCAAGAAAAGGTGTACGTAGTCTGCAAAAACCCAGGAAAGTGCTACGTGCCAATGTAACATCCACATGAATGTCAGGACCCAAGGTTTCCCAGGAGAACATTGCCCAGAGCATAACACTACCTCCACCGGCCTGCCTTCTTCCCATTGCATTATGCTGCCATCTCTTCCCCAGGTAAACAATGGACACGCAAAGTCCATCCACTTGATCTAAAAGAAAACGTGATACATCAGACCAGGCAACCATCTTCTATTGCTCCATGGTCCAGTTCTGATGCTCTCATCCCCATTGAAGGCACTTGCAGTGATGGACAAGGGTCATCATGGGCACTCTGCATGTTCAAAATGTTTCAAAATTCAAGAACTGACTGCTAACTTGTGGCATAATATATCCCAACCCGTGACTTGTCTGATTGTAACCATATAATCAATGTTATTCACTTCACCTGTCAGGGGTTTTAACATTGTGACTGATCAGTCTATGTGCTAATTAGATACATTTTAAAACAGTGCTGGGATTATTTGCTGGTTTGTGCAACTCTAATCTAGGACACAAAGAACATGGGCTGCAGTTTGACTCTGGGGAATATTTGATCACACTAATACTATAATCACTTGAATTAATTTTCTTATTGCTACTGTGTAACCAGTCTTTTTCAAAAGACTTTTTCATGCTTTCTAGGCTAAAGCTCCA